ACGGCGCTGCTTGTTTTCCCAGCTTCACTCCGGAATGATGACAGCAACACAGAGAGCGACGTTGACATCGCCACAGAAAAGGTATGTGACGAAGCTCTTCTGAGGCTGTTCAACTCCGACACTGAAGATGATGACTTCAGTGGTTTCAGTGCGCAGGAGGACAATGAATAAACTAATCAATAACTTTTCTGTTTTGTTTGATACTGATCAGTTCAGTTACGCTCAGTTAAACTACGTTTTCAATTCAGTAGATATCAAAAGTTTTATAACGCCCAAATTTTTCCAGTTTTTTATTGGAATTTATGCTGTTTAATGTCACATTGCACTCTAAAATGAAAGCATAATGCAAATAAGCAATTGGAGATAAAAGAAAGGAATCATGGAATCAATTTTTAGACCAAAATGCTTTCTAAACTTTTGACTCATCAAAGTAGCCACCTTTGGCAGATATAACAGCTGAACACACTCATAGCATTCTTTCTACAATAGAAATCAAATATTCCTCAGAAAGTTCTTCCCATATCTGTTGCAGAAGCTCCCATAAATTTGTAGCACTTGTAGGTTGTTTTGATTTCACTCTACTGTCCAGTTCATCCCAAACCAGCTCGATGGGGTTTAAGTCTGGAGACTATGCTGGCCACTCCATGTTTTCAAGGTTACAATCTTGTTCTTTTTTCCCTGAGGTAGTTCTGGCATAGGTTGGACTTATGTTTTGGGTCATTATCTTGCTGTAGGATGAACCCCTGATCAACTAGGTACATACCATACTGCATGGCACTGGAGAATGCTGTGGTAGCTGTTTTGGTTCAGGGTGCCTCCCACTCTGTACCAGTCACTGACCCTGGATCCAGCAAAACAGCCCCAGACCATCATACTTCCTCCTCCATGTTTGACAATTGATGCCACACACTGTGGAACTATCCTTTCACCTACTCGACGGCATACAAAGATCCTGCGTGATGAACTTAAGATTTCAAATTTGGATTCATCAGTCCATAATACCTTCTTCCAGACTTCAGTAGTCCAATGGTGGTGTTTCATGGCCCAGACAAGCCTCTTTCTCTTCTTCTGATGTCTTAGCAGTGGCTTTCTTGCTGCAACTTGTCCTGTCAAACCTGCAGCTTGAAGTCTTCTCTTCACAGTTGAAACTGAGACTTGCTTACTATGACCACTATTAAGCTGTGCTTGAAGCTGTTGTCCTGTGAGCCGCCTATCACGCAAGCTGTTAACTCCCAGAAACTTGTCCTCTGATGCAGTTGTGGCTTTGAGTCTGCCAGACCTCTTCCTGTCAGAGTTTGCCCCTGTTTCTGAGTGCCTTTTGATGGTTAAGGAAACTGTACTGACTGACACCTTGACTTTGCAATTTCTCTGTAGGAAAGACTTACATTTTTAAGTGTTTTGATGGTCTGTCTCTCTTCCACTGTTAATTGCCTTTTTCTCGCCATTTTTGTAGCAGCACACTATTATCTGCAGTACAATACTGTTTAACTGATGCTCACGAGGATATGGTACCACAGTATGTTTCAACACTGTTTTTATGCAGACAGAGGGGGTTGTAAGTAATCCAGGAAAGTTGGAACACCTGTGGGAATTAGTAGCACAAGCTTTCAAGGCTTGATCAACGTTCATTGCTGCGGAACAGCTGTGTTCCCAGAAAAAATGCCTTTTTGTATAATTCTGAAATGTACATTTATTTTTTTCAGTTTTGAATAACCATACCTTTTTTTTAACTCTGACAGTTTATCACTTAACTTTTTACCATTTCAAGCTATTCATTGGACTTGAATGACTTAAACGGCAATAAATAACTGGAAAAATTGGGGCGTTCTAAAACTTTTGACCAGTAGTGTGTGTGTGTGTGTGTGTGTGTGTGTGTGTGTGTATATATATATATATATATATATATATATATATATATATATATATATATATATATATACAGTACATATATATATATACACACACACTTCTTTTTCTTCCGCTTGTCCGGAGTCGGGTTGTGGGGCCAGCAGTCGAGAGGTCAAAAACTTTCCTCTCCCCAGCCACTTGGGCCAGCTCTTCTGGGGGAATCCCAAGGTGTTCCCGGGGCAGGTGATATAAAACTCCCATCTCACCCTCTGTGGGTGATCTCATCCTTCCAAGCTCGGGTCCTCTACCAGAGGTCTGGGAGCTTGAGGGTTCTGCACAGTATCTTAGCTGTTCCTAGAATGGCTCTTTTCTGAACTGAGATGTCTTTCCTGGGATATGCTTTAGCCACTCCTCCAGTTCAATTAAATTAAATTCAAAGATACTTTATTAATCCCAGAGGGAAATTAGAGTTTCAGTGCACCCAATTCTGAGGACAAGAATTGGTGACTGTGGGCATTCGCAACCCGAGTTGCGCTACCTTAGTTCGGGGGTTACTGCCCAGAGTTCCCCGATAACCATGGGTACCATCGATGTCTTCACTCTCCAGGCTTTCTCAAGTTCTTCTTTGAGGCCCCAGTACTTCTCTAGTTTCTCATGTTCCTTTTTCCTGATGTTTCTATCACTTGATATGGCCATATCAACCACAATGGCTGTCCTCTGTTGTCTGTCCACCAACACAATGTCGGGTTGGTTTGCCATCACCATATTGTCATTCTGGATGTGAAAGTCCCACAGGAGCTTAGCTCGCTTGTTCTCAACGACCTTAGGGTATTACCCATTTTGACCTTCCAGTCCATACTCTGCACAGATGCTCCTGTACATGATGCCAGCCACTTGATTGTGGCATTCCATGTATGCTTTCCCTGCCAGCATCGTACACCCTGTAGTTCTGTGGTGGATTGTCTCAGGGGCCTTTTTGCATAGCCTCCACCTTGGGTCTTGTCTGGTGTGGTAGATCTTGGTCTCTGTTGCTCTGGTGTTCAAGGCCTGTTCCTGTGCAGCCATGATGAGTGCCTCTGTGCTGTCCTTCAGACTAGTTCTTTCTAGCCATTGGTAGGATTTCTTGATATCAGCCGCTTCAGTTATCAGTCTGTGGTACATCCCATGTAGAGGTTGTCCTCCCATGATGGTATTTCCAATGTCTCCTCCTCTGTTTGCCATTGTCTGAGACATTCACTGAGCACGTCATCTGTTGGGGCCTTGTCTTTGATGTACTTATGGATCTTGGATGTTTCATCCTGGGCAGAGGCTCTGACACTCACTAGTACTTGACCTCCTTTCTTACGACTACTGTAGAGTCTCAGGGTGCTGGATTTGGGATGGAACCCTCCATGCATGGATAGGAGCTTCAGTGTCATCTGTGGTCTGTATTTCTTACTTTGGCCAGCTTATTATTCCTACAGGATACCTGATTACTGGCAGGACATAGCTGTTTATTGCCTAGATCTTGTTCTTGCCATTGAGCTGACTTCTTAGGACTTGGCTTGCTTGTTCTATGTATTTGGCTGTGGCTCCATTCCTTGCAGCTTAATCAAAGTGACCATTTCCTTGTGGGACACCGAGGTACTTGTAGCTGTCAATGTCTGCTGTTGTTTCTTCTGGGAGTGAGACCCCTCCTTTGTGGACTACCTTGCCTTTCTTTCTCATCATCCAACCACACTTCTCAAGCCCGAATGACATTTCAATATCAGTGCTGTAGATCCTGGTGGTGTGGATCAGTGAAATGATGTCTTGCTAGTTCTTGGCGTAGAGCTTTATGTCATCCATGTAGAGAAGATGGCTGATGGTGGTTCTATTCTTGAGTCGATATCCATAGCCAGTTCTGTCGATTATTTGGCTGAGGGGGTTCAGACCTATGCAGAACAGCAGTAGGGACAGGGTGTCCCCATGGTAGATGCCACATTTGGTAAAGACTTGTGCAATTGTCTTATTGACCTCAATGGTGGTTTTCCACAATTCCATTGAGTTTGCAATGAAGATTCTCAGAGTCCTGTTGATATCGTACAGCTCCAAACATTCAACGATCCATGAATGCAGCATTGAGTCATAGGTTTTCTTGTAATCAATCAAGGCCGTGCATAGTCGTGTATGTCGGGCTTTGCAGTCTTGGGCAATTGTTTGGTCTATCAGCAGCTGGTGTTTGGCTCCTCTGATATCATGTAATGATCCATGTGTCCACTTGTCTTATTTGCTATGATGCTTGACATGAGCTTCCATGTCGTGGAGAGACAGGTTATTGGCCAATAGTTGGATGGGACTGTACCCTTGGAGGGATCCTTCATGATCAGGACTGTGCATCTGTCAGTTAGCCATTCAGGGTGAATCCCATTCTTTAGCAGCTGGTTCATTTGTGCTGCCAGGAGCTCATGGAGTGCAGTGAGCTGTTAAGCCAGTAGGTTTGGATCAAGTCAGGTCCCGGTGCTGTCCAGTTTTTCATACCTGCAGCTCTTTCCTGGATGTCTGCCACAGTAATGGATACTGGGTTCTGCTCAAGGAGGTTGTCGTGGTCTTTTCTTAGAGAGGCTAGCCAATTTGTATTGCTGTTGTGGGATGCCTCCTTCTCCCAAATGTCCTTCCAGTACTGTCTCCAGCCTTGATGGGTCTGCCCAGCTGTAATAACCCTGCCACTGAGAGTACACTTTAGCTGGTTGGGTCGAGAAAAGCCGGTTTATTTGTCTGGCTTCACTTTCACTCGTGTATCTCTTCAGGTGGCTGGCCATGGCTTGGAGCCTTTGTTTTGCTGTTTCCAGTGCTTCAGGTATGGGGTTCTGGCTGTAGCTCTTGGGTCCTGGTTTTTCTCATTGTTCCTTTCTGGAGCTCTGATAGTTGGCTCACTTCTCTCGGTACTTCTTTTCCATGGTGAGTATTGTCTCTCATGGTTGCTCTTGCTTTTACTTAGTATAAATCAACAAACTGTATCATACTGTTGTTTATGTGTCATTAAACCCAAAAACAAACTCACATCTACCAGCACTAACAGAAAGTAATGAGTCACAAATGACGAACCACAGACAATGGACAATAATTTTATAATGTAAACCGTGGAACTGAAATTCAATAATTCTTCAAAAAAATAATGATCTATTCATTACCTTGGACTGATTACTTGAGCATGTGGTATTGAGAATTCAGCTGGCACATCTTCTACAGTGGTTGTTTTGCTAGCATCACTCCGTGCACAGGCATACACTGTGCACACCTCCACCTGCAACAGACATTTGAACACCAAAGACCTAAAGCATCACTTGTTATCATGACTCTGATGCCTGTGACTGTATGTATACTTGTATACTGTAGACTGTAAAAGGCAGCAGGTCTCCAAGCAGATACGAGCCAGAGCTGTTGCCCACACTGCCATGGAGACGATCGTTAACGTAGATGTTGTAACCAACGATGACTCCGTTGGGTCGAAAAGGAGGTGACCACAGGACGCGGGCAGAGCTGCTGTTTACAGGAACCAGTTCTGGGGCAGACATCTTTTCAGGAGCTGAGAGTGGCACAGAAGAGACACACATCACAGAAATCAAATCTTTATTTATGCAAAAATTAATTAAAAGAAAGAAGTACAGTAAAAACAAAAACAAAAACAAACAAACAGTAAAATGAAAGTATTTAAAGTAACTGAGCACCAACTATAACTTTTAAGTGTTTAGATACACAATTTTAACACAACATGTACCACTAATAACAGCTTTTGCCACTAAACTTACCACTGGAAACTTATGTCCCCTCTGTCAACAGAACATTACCCCAGAATGTTGCAGAATGCAACATCTGGGCACAGTGGTGTTCATTTTTTAACAATATATTCAGATTATACACAGCTGATGCAATTGACCTGAATTGCCACTGTAAAAAAGTTAAAAAAATGTTTTACATCCTTTAACAAAGTGCATTTCAGCTAAGAAAAATTGCATGAGACATTCTCTTAACCATCCCATAATTATGTCCCATATTTCAATTCTACATGAAGGAAAGTAAAAAAAAAATAAATAAAGGAGGAGAACACAAGGAAGTGAATAATCTGGGAGGATGGAGGGTGTGAGCAGAGTAATCCTACAGACTTCATCTATTATTCTAAGTGAAAATGTGCTTAGCAACAAGAAGTTAACCCAATTCATTTACAGGCAATACACTTACCTAAACCCAACCTACCGTTCTACATTTAATTTACTGCAGGATGACATTATCAATGCAATTCTGAACACTGAGGCACCTCTCTCTCGCGCGCGCGCGCGCGCGCACACACACACACACACACACACACACACACACACACACACACACACACACACACACACACACACACACACACACACACACACACACACACACACACACACACACACACACACACACACACACACACACACACACACACACACACACACACACACACACACACACACACACACACACACACACACACACACAAGCTTTTCTTGCCAATTAGTTCTGATGTCCGCATTGCCCTATAGATTGCAGGCTACATTAGGATGGCTGAACTACATTTGTCAAAATATATTTAAAACACAGTTTTGTGTGTGCGCGCGCACGTGTGTGTGTGTGTGTGTGCATACTCTTTTAGCTGTAAAATAATAAAATTACCTCAAGAGGCATCTCAGTTAAACGAGCCATGCTTTGCCTTTAGCACATAATGATTTTCTAATGTTTTTAATGCACTTTTTATTATACAGCTCAGATTAGAGAGAAGAAAAGAAGAATCTGACATATGATCATCCCAAGACAGGAAGAGAACTATAAGGAAAGATTAATACATCTAGGAAAAAAGCCGAAATGATTGTACAGAGGATCTCTGGTGGCACAAAAAGCTCAAAAATCTATATTCCAACAAATTTCACATACATCTGAATTTATATGAAAGGGGAATGAAAAAAGTGACATCCTGTGGGCACATTTGGGTACCACAGTCCATGTTTCTCAACAAAGAGTCAGCTCTGAGCACCAGTTACCTTTTATGGCTCAGCACCAGAAGATTCCAGATTACGAATGAAGATTAGTCATACACTGTAAATTGAAAAATAGTTAATTATAATAATAATTGTAGTAGATAAAACATTTTACGGAAATATAGAGTTGTTAGTAATTGAAAACGTAGATTTAGATATTTTTAGAGCTGACAGTTTTTTTTGAAATCAGTATTGTGTAGTAGCTAAAAACTGATCATAACGTAATTTCACAATGCAATGTGGATGTATTCCTAGACAACCAAGCGTGCATTTTGCATGGGCGCCTATGGGTCTGAGTTGCTCCACTCGTCTCAAAATTGTAATTTCTTCTCCTGAAGATGTTCAAAAAGGAAAAAACTAAGCACTGCTGTTGGAGGAGGGGCCAATTCCACTCTAGATACCCAGATTGGATGTTGGAGGGGACATATTTGATCCATTTTCCAAAGTTGGGTAAGGTCCACAACCACGTGCAACAGCTGGAAAGGGAAACTGGCCAAGTTGAAGACAGACAAAGCAAAGTGGTGGCAGTATTTCAGTGGAAAAGCAGATTTTCACAGTGTGGAGCAGATCAAGGGGTGCGCGTATATTTGTTCCATACATTTTGCCAGTGAAAAAGGCCCTGCCTCCGACAATATGAACTGATACTCGCAATGCTTCTAGATGTGGAGTAAGGTTATCCAGGAAGCAGTGGTTTAAACGAAGAAGTATAGCTAAACGTCTTGACCAAACAGCATCCAAACGTGGACGAAAAGGATTTTGACCCGGGGTGACTTTTATTATACAGTTATTATTATGTTCTCAGTCCCTACACCCCCAGCAGGTCCCTGAGGTCCAGTGATCAAAGCCTACTGGTTGTGAAGCACATCAGGCTTAAGACCAAAGGTGACAGATCATTTGCTGCTGTGGCCCCCAGACTCTGGAACTCTCTCCCCCTGATCCTGAGATTAGTGGACTCAGTGGTCTCCTTTAAAAAGCAGCTGAAACCTCACTTGTTCAAGCTGAATTTTGAGTGACCTTCTGATTCTTCTTCACTACCTTCGTTTCATGCTGCTGTTTACATCAATTCTGCATTTGTCGGGATACTGCATCACCTTCTCTTATTCATTTCTGTTTTCCTTTACATTTTTTTATTTAAATGTTTTCATCATCTTCCATCCATTTATCCATCCATTTTCATCCGCTTATCCGGAGTCGGTCACGGGGGCAGTAGCCTAAGTCGAGAGGTCCAGACTTCCCTCTCCCCAGCCACTTGGGCCAGCTCCTCCGGGGGAATCCCAAGGCGTTCCCTGGCCAGGTGAGAGACATAGTCCCTCCAACGTGTCCTGGGTCTACCTTTAGGTCTCCTCCCGGTTGGATGTGCCCGGAAAACTTCACCAGGGAGGCCAGGTGCCCGAGCCACCTCAACTGGCTCCTCTCGATGTGGAGGAGCAGAAGGTCTACTCTGAGCCCCTCCCGAATGACAGAGCTTCTCACCCTATCTCTAAGGGAGAGCCCAGCCACTCTGCGGAGAAAACTCATTTTGGTCGCTTGCATCCGCGATCTCGTTCTTTCGATCACTACCCAAAGCTCGTGACCATAGGTGAGGGTAGAAATGTAGATCGACCGGTAAATTGAGAGCTTCGCATTCTGATTAGCTCTCTCTTCACCATGACAGATCGGTACAACGCCCGCATCACTGCAGATGCAGCACCAATCCACCTGTCGATCTCACGCTCCAGTTTTCCCTCACTCGTGAACAAGATTCCTCCACTTGGGGCAGGACCTCATCCCTGTCCCGGAGAAGGCATTCTACCCTTTTCCAAATTAAGACCTTGGTCTCAGATTTAGAGGAGCTGACTCTCATCCCAGCTGCTTCACACTCGGCTGCAAACTGCTCAAGCTAAAGCCGATGACCATGTTCTGATGAAGCCAACAGGACTGCATCATCTGCAAAAAGCAGAGACCTGATCCTCAGGCCACCAAAACGGATGCCTTCCACACCTTGGCTGCGCCTAGAAATCCTGTCCATAAAGGTCATGAACAGAATTGGTGACAAAGGGCAGCCTTGGCGGAGTCCAACTCTGGGAACAAGCTCGACTTACTGCCGGCAATGCGGACCAAGTTCTGACACCGGTCATACACGGACCTTAACAGCCCGTATCAGAGGGCCTGGTACTCCATACTCCCGGAGTACCCCCCACAGGGCTCCCCGAGGGACGCAGTCAAACGCCTTCTCCAAATCCACAAAACACATGTAGACTGGTTGGGCAAATTCCCACGCACACTCCAGGATCCCCCTAAGGGTATAGAGCCTGCGGTTTTCATTGTCCTCATTTTTTAATTTATATTTTTATTGATATTTTCCATTTATTTAGTAATAATTTTTAATTTTGTGTTCTTGTGAAGCGCCTCATGATTTTTTTCTTGAGAGGTGCTAAATAAAAACTTGTTTCTTCTTATGTAAAAAGTAGTGAGACAAACAATAACCTAAAAGTAAACTATGAACTTCTAGAAAATGTTAAGCATGGCGATTAATGAGTAACTGTTTCAAAAGTTTGAATATGATGCCTGTCATGCTGCTTTTATCGACGTCCAAGGATTTGTTCGTGTAAATTTAATATGCAAATGCGGTTTGTTTGTTCAGCATTAGAACCCAGCAGCATCTGCGCTGTGATGTCAACTGTAGAATACACTAGTCACAGTTAGCATTGTTAGCCTCTAGTATTCTTCACTGGATATAAAAGTCAAACTAAAACATACCGTCGCTTCTTAGGGGTACAAGAAATAACTTCTGGGCTGCTCCAGTTACTGACTAACATACTGTCCACAACTATGGTGCTTTTTTCGTGCAAATCACAAATGCAGGTGCAGCGCTGTGATGGAGATACGATTGGCTCTGAAACCAGGAAGTATAAAGGTGGGATAGACTGTAAACAAAGACTGCATCCCTCTTTGGCCTTTTTAAAGAAGAAAAACTAACAGCCTCAAGCCGGCTGAGAAGGAAAGCTATTTCAATGAAAAGCCGACCGATATATCGGCTTGTCGTATATATATATATATATATATATATATATATATATATATATATATATATATATATATATATATATATATATACGTCTCCTATATATTGGCCGAAAATTTTTTAAAAGAAAAAAAAAATTATAATTACAATTATATAAAAAAAAATTTGCAGGAACTTCTGTGGCCAACTGCCGCCACTACTAGTCCAATCCAATCCAATCCAATTTTATTTATAAAGCGCATTCAAAAGGCATTACAACCAAACAAGGCGCTGTACACTAAAAATGTTGGTTAATTAAACAGGTGTTATATAAACATGTCGAACACAGATAAAAGATAAAAAGGAAATACAACAAAATTCCCAAAAATAACAGCTAAAAATCAATAAGACACAGGGTGAAATAAAAATAGGAAAAAACATTTTACAAAGAACCTCAATAATACGGAAGTCGATAATTGTGGAGTCAGTTTATAAACAGTGCAGATGTCAGTGAGGTTCATAATTATGTTGTATAAGCTAGGTTGAAGTAGTGAGTTTTCAGGCGTGATTTAAAAATGCTAGCTGTTGGTGCTAGCCTCACTAGCAGTGGCAATGCGTTCCACAGCTTCGGTGCACAGACAGAGAAAGCCCTCTCTCCACGGCTTTTTAAACGTGCATTGGGAACAGCTAGGAGGAGCTTATCTTCAGACCTGAGAGCACGCGGCGGGTTGTAGTAATGGACAAGTTCACACAGATATGGAGGAGCTTGATGGTTCAAGGATTTGTAAGTGAGAAGCATAATTTTGAAGTTTATCCTGAACTGCACGGGCAACCAGTGGAGAGATTTCAGAATTGGAGAAATGTGTTGTCTTCTGTCAGCTCCAGTCAGCAACCTAGCTGCTGAATTCTGGACCAGCTGAAGTCTAGAAAGAGCTGCTTTACTGATGCCATATAAGCAGGAGTTAGAGTAATCCAGCCTTGAGGTGATAAAAGTGTGGACCACGGATTTCAGAAGACGTACACTCAGGATGTGCTTTAGTTTTGAGATGCGTCTTAGTTGGTAAAAACATGATTTAACTGTGTTATTGACCTGGGCATCCATCTTCAGAGCCTGGTCCATTTTTACTCCAAGGTTGGAGATTACAGAGGATACATTAGGTGAGAGATAGTTGAGGTCATGTTTTTGAGTTGCCGTGATACTGTTAGGACTGAAAACGATTAAGTCAGTTTTGGAGTCATTGAGATGGAGGAAGTTGTCAGCTAGCCATTGCTTGACCTCAAGGATACAATCAGACAGAACTTTCGTTGATTGAGTTGGCTTAAATGAAAAGTAGATTTGACAGTCGTCAGCGTAAAGATGGTATGAGACAGCGTGCTTTCTGAAAATGGCTCCTAAGGGCAGTATATAGAGGTTGAACAGTAACGGGCCAAGAATTGAACCTTGTGGGACACCCCAACGTAGAGGCTGTGACTCTGATGAACAGCCGTCCAACATGACCCTAGCAGACCTGTTACAAAAGTATGACCTAAACCAATCCAGGGCAGTGCCTGAAATGCCAGCCCAAGTGTGAAGTCTTGTGATCAACTCACTAGACTGAAGAAAGGAACTAAAGGACCCCAACAGGCTGTTCTTTTAACATTTTGAGTTTGTTTTACATTTGAAATTCAATAAATATTAAGAGATTTATTGACTTATTTCATTTATTTTGCACACTTTCAGGGTTCAGTTGTCTTTCACAATCAATGTGCTGCTAAAACCCATGTATCAACCTTTTTTTTTTACCGTGTACTGTGAAGCAAACAGAATTGATGTCTGAATGCTGGTGACAAGCCTTACAGATTTACTCTCAGGTGGAGCATCAAAGCGTCTGCTTTTAATGTCACGCCTGATACTTAAAACTTTATTGTTATTGTTTTTGAATGCTTTGTAATTCCGACCAGACACGGAGTCAGAGGTGAAAGAGAAAGGAAAAGACAAAAGGTGGGGAGAGAGGGGGGAAGGGGGTGGGGGTTGGGATTCCACAAAAATAAACAATAATGAACAAGAGTCTGCTTCTAGACCTGCAGAAAGAGACAAGAAAAAAAAAAGAAAAAAAAATTATGGGACACAACAACAATACAACAAGATCAAGCTATCACTGTGTCAACTTGATGAAGAAATATATAATCAACATTGTTTAACTGAACAGTCACACGATAATAAATCACAGTGCATTAAGTGCCCACCATAGTCTTAAGACCTGTGTTGAACATGCCCAAGCCCATACTTTTAAGAGCACCATGTGAGCACCTGTGTGTGTACACACGCTTGCTTATGTAAGGTTTATCTACAGGAGCGTCCAATAGAGAGTGCGAGGGACCACAGACCTGCCCCCCAAAGATGCGTAGGAGACGGGGGAAGCTCCAAGTCCCAGAGATCCAGGTGCTGCCCCAGAACACAGGAACCCCAAGGAGACTGCAACCAGAAAGCCCCCCTCCAAGAGGCACAGAGGATCGCCCCGGGGGGCCACAACCAGCAGCCGGCAGAGTCCCGGGAGACATCAGCAGCAAGCCCACAGGCCCGCCCGCAGCCTCCCACCCCCTAGCCGGCCGAGCCCGGGACTCAGCAACCCAGGACCTAGGGGCGACCACCCCCGCCGGGGACCCAGCAGAGCCCAGGGACCCAGACCCCACCAGGCTGCCACCGGGAATGATCAGGCAGACGCCAAAAATCTTAAGCCCCCTGACCCGGGAGCCACGAACGCTCAGGCAGACCAAGGCACTACACCCCACACCAGGTGTGGCAGGGGGAGGGGAGACGAAGATCTATAGCATCAAAAGAAGTCCCAGGAGAGGGGAGGAGTCAAAGGCCCCACCTGACATATACAGTCATATACAAACACAGTCACACACTCCCTCCCTCATGCTCACACATGCACATACAACCAAAGACTTACAAAAATGCACGCCCGACATCCACTCATGCTCCCCATACACACCCTATTCACTCTGGTCCCGGTACTGCTGCACATGGGGTACAACCATCACCGGTTACCAGAGTTTGACCCTTTCTGCTGCGGTGCTGATGAGCAGGCTCCCCCGCCCAACGCTGAGCACAGCAACCCACCACCCCAGACCCCAACCAGACAGCCAGATCTCCCTCCTAGCCTCCAGCCCCGGGAAGCCAAGCAACAACAGAGGTGTGCTAAGACTCCTAGTCTCCCTCCGCCTGCTCCAATATAGTGTTGTGTGTTGATGAGGTGTATTCCATGGCTGTGGTGAGCGGGCAGTGCAGGCATTGTCCGGCCTATGCCAGCTGATGCCACCGCACCACCCCACTTGCACCCACAGCCATCAGTGTCTAAGTGCAGTTTAAAATTGGGAGTGGGCACCGGCATTCAGGAGGAGGCTGAGAAATCCCCCTACCAAGTGCCGTTGAATGTGCTCACTCCCAAGGCCCTAAGTGTGTGTTTGCGTGGAATGTCGTCGGTGGAAGTGTATAAGGTGCAAATAAAATTGGGGGATAGGCTGCCACAGGAATGTGAAAATGCGGTCCATACCTGCACTCCCTGACTTGTCCAGCCCCCAAGGTCCTATGTGCATGTTTGTGTGATGATGTGAGGGAGCAGGAGGAGAGAAATATGCGGGGATGGGGAGGAATGGCTGGTTGGGCTTAGCCCTCCAGGGAGCCAGCTCCACCACTGGCCCCAATAGGCACCTCTGTTGTCAAATTGCCGCCCAGGTCATGGAGACCCCAGCCCATCCTGCCAGGGCCCAAAGCAGCAGCATTACAGAGCCTCACGGAGTCCGAGGGCACCAACCCAGCCCCACCCTATTAGAATATCTATGCCCATCCCTGCATTTGCACAACTTCCAGAATATATAAGACATAGGACATCCAGGTAAGGTTGGGTCCTCCCCCTCCTGGACCTCCCCCTCCCCTGTGATGGGAGAGCAGAGGAGCCAAGGCCTACCCGAGGTCCCTGAACCCGGGCCAGGCACTGCTGCATGTTCCTGCCTATGTATCAACCTTAATAATTGGCTTTGGATATTGGCCATCGGCAACAAAATTCTTTAAAAATCGGTCTCGGCATCAGCCTTTGAAAAACCCATATCAGTCGGCCTCTAATTTCAATGTTACCTTACTAACAACAAAGTGGTAACACTAGACTGTTTTGTGACTATTTCCCCTTAACATGTTTTGTTTTTGTACTTTAAAACCCCCCATACTTACAGTTTAGGACATTTCGTGTGCTCTTATGACAAATTTTTCTTGTATATTACATCAAATGGAGAACAGCTACATGTACAATCTGGCTTGCTGTGCAAAGACAGTGAGACAGTGTGAGTGCAGTTTGTGTGCGACTGTCCGTCCACAGTGCCAACAAGCATTTTACAACACCCTGAATGTGCCCCACAGACACACACACACACACACACACACACACACACACACACACACACACACACACACACACACACACACACACACATTCTTTGTATTGATTTCATGCCTCAGCACATGATGTGCTTAACATCTCCTGTGAAGTACAATGTTGTGGAGAAATGGACGTTAACCTGGACACCTCTCTGACCCACTCAGGTGTGTTGTACATGACATAATTACTCCATCACATTGAACCTCTAAATCAAACTTTTTTTCCCCAACTAGTTAGGTAAAACATACACCTTAATGTCCCTTTACCTCCATCTGCTGTGGTGACATGATCTGTTACTTTAGTTGTATTATGTGCTCCGTTGAACACCTTTAATGACACCTGATAAGTGGTGCTGGGCCGAAGGTCACCGATGACTGTGGACGTGACCTCAGGTCCTTTAGTCAACACCAGACTTGACTCTGGAGTCTCTACTGTGAGGAAAAATGATTCCACCGCTCCCTGCAGGTCTTGCAAAGCTGAAAAAGACAGTAAATGAGGAAAAAGTGAGGGATCAGTTCAAATAAAATATCCAGACTATTTAGACTGCAGGGTTACCCAATCCTGGTGCTTGAGAGCTGCTATCCAGCATGTTGCATGAATTTCTCTTTCCAACACACCTGATTTTCAGGAGCAGGTGATTAACAGACTTGTGAAAAAGTTCATGAGCTACCAAACAAGTGATTGAATCACTGAATCAGGTGTGTTGTAATATATATCTGAGATTCAGAAGCAGTTTAAATTCAGCGAGAAGAAGTTCTTGAAAGGGAAAATTGAGAATTATGAGTTTTCAGTCAGTAGGATGCAGATCAAGTGCAAATGAGTGAGACCATGACACATGACTTGATAAGTAGTTGATGCTCACCAGCTTAGAAAGGGAAAAACTGCATCAAATTGGGGATTCCTACAGTTTACAGATGAGCACATTTATTAATCTGTGAGGCAGTGTTTCTGTTCATGAGTCCATCTTACAATACAGAAAAAATCTTAAAACGTCTGAAAGCGCATAGTTTGTTTGGGGGTTAAAAAACCTAGAAAATCCAGAAGGATGTTGGAAAGTTATTTTTAGATGAGATTACAAAAGGTTTTTAAAAAGACAGTGTGTAGTTTTTACTATTAATCTCTGGAAATATCCATCAAAATGTTGATGAAAATATATTAAATGATGTCCAGTTGTTTAAAAATATAGGTGGCTTTGTAACATTTAACCATAGAATCGGGTCTAAAATACATAGGAGCATGTCTAAGTCTATGGATGATGCTATATTAGACATGATGTGTCCTTCTATGGGAGCCCGTGAGGACAAAACCCATTTATTGATTTGTAACAAACAGTTACAAAACTTTTGTCAGTCATTAATGTTGTTTTACACTTTAACCTCTGTTTGTTGCCAGTGATGAAAAAGAATCTGATGCCATTTTGCTGGAAGTTTAACAATCTGATTAAATACTCGTTCGAGACTTGTGCTCCAAGGGATTTTGACTTTAATGGCCAGCCGTTGGTAAGGTCTTACTCAAACACAAAAATACCAGTTGCTTGCAAAGGTTTAGGTATTTACTGCCCCCTATTGCCTGGGGAAATACACACCATCACTTTAATGAAATGTATCTAAAATAAAACGTTGTTCCATCTGAACCATGATGCTATCAACACACTGATCTGGGGCTGTTTTTCTCCATCAGTTTAACCAGTCATCATTTATTAAATTAAAACAAGTCAGAACATGTGCACATGAATTCAAACTGAAAACAATGGTGTAGCCCAGTCACGTCCACGGTGTGGCCCGGGAGCCATCTGCAGCCCTCGGAATGATGTTGTGCGGCCCCCACTAGCTTTTCTAGGACAGTAGACGTTTAACTGTCCAGCAGGGTGTTGATGTAAAATAATGCCTTTTGACATTTTAATGTTCAGATTTTTACTAAAATATTAAATAAAGTTTAGGCCTTTTTGAGTCGCCCTCGTCTCCCAAAGTTTGGACACCCTTGATGTAGCCAGAACCAAAGCACATCGTTATTGCCATAAATATGATAGATGGTTTTGTATCTAACTGAAGTTCACACACACACACACACACACACACACACACACACACACACACACACACACACACACACACACATATATATATATATATACACACACACACACACACACACACATATATATATATATATATATATATATATATATATATATATGTGTGTGTGTGTGTGTGTGTGTGTATATATATATATATACACATATATATATATACACACACACACATATATATATATATATAGAGAGAGAGAGAGAGAGAGAGAGAGAGAGAGAGAGAGAGAGAGAGAGAGAGAGAGAGAGAGAGAGAGAGAGAGAGAGAGAGAGAGAGAGAGAGAGAGAGAGAGGGAGAGCTTACAAGGTTGTGTCCAGTTGACTTGTATGGCTGTGTGATTGATAGCATGAGCAGACAGATGCGGAGGGTTGAGGGGAACCCCTGCCATGGTCACTGCAGTCACAACCTCCCCTGAAGTGTAGCCCACATCATTAGAAACAACTAACTGGTACTGGTAACGGGTGAATCTGTGGAGAGACAGAACCACGCTCCTAATGAAACCACTTGTTTAAACTGGAATTTTTCTGATAGTTTTGTTTCCACGGAGGACAAACATGACAGTAATGCTCACAGTCTCATCCGCTCTTTTTCTTAAAACATTTAATGATTTATAAAATGCTTTTGGCAAAATTTAACAAGTCAAAAGCATAATATAGAATAAAATAATGTAATATGAAAAACAGGTGAATTATAGAATATTAAAGTTCAGCTATGTATATCCTAACGTACAATCAGATCCTGCAATTAATGCAACATTTGTCAAAATCTTGTTTCAATCCTGCAGAATGAGAAAAGCTGAGACATCTGAAGTTTGGTCAGCTGATTTAGAACAAACCACATTATACACATAGACCCAGAGCAGTTTAGCAAGCACAGTAAAAAAGCTTCAACCAAGCGCCAGACTGAGATTAAGGGATGCTGCATGAAAAACAATTTAATTCTTTAGGATATTTGCTTAATGTATCTTTGAGCGGTATTAAAAAGATCCACATCAGCAGCAGCTCTCCGATCAGCTCTGCACACACTGTTTGCCGCTGCGCTGCCATTTGCTCTAGAGCTCATTTCAGTAATCTCACCTGCTTAGGCTTTTATCTTCGTAGAACAATTTGGTGCCAGAGTAAACATGGAGCCATAGATGGAGATCTTTGGAGGGGGGCGAGGAGGTGGCTGTTGATGCGGGGACCATGGTAACGGCTAGGGGCTGGTGGGTTTTACGTCTGAGCAGCTTGTATCTGAGGGACAAATTTGAATAAAACAAAACAAACACACACGGTTTGATGTTAAGGAATCCATTAACACACGAGGAGAGCACAAAGACTGTACTCTTTGCAGAGTACACACATGCCGACACTTAAAGTTGCACACATAATTTTCAGCTGACTCTTATCACTCATTTCCTTCTCTTGTGCCGTTTTCCATCATCTCTATTCTTTGCTCCTGCTGTATCTCATCCCTCCCTACGCCCCTCCAGCCGTTGTTTTTCTGCGGGGTTTGTTGTTTTTCTCTCCCCACAGTGATGCTAATTTCTGCTGTAATCAGAAGTGAAGGGCTTAATGCTGCCTTTTAACCAACCCACTTAGACAAACATGCAGAGCTGAGCAGTGCAGAACAGAGACAGACGGCCTCATGCATTTTAATCACCCGCTAAGAAAATGGACTTTTATTTTAGGCCTAATCGCAGACAGACTAGAACAGGACAGAAACAAAGTGGACCAGGATGTGCATTAGTACTGGGAAAACACTGATTAAAAATGCACACTTAGCTCATTAGCAGGGCACTTATGTTAGCAGCTTGTTAACGTGTTCATATCTGCAGCAGCTCAACATCTCAAGATGTGTTTTTGAATATCCACACATGGTGAAATCACTCATTGTCTGTTTCCTGTTATTGTTGAGCCAAACAGATTCAGAAAAGAATATTATACTGGGACTGGAGTCTTACATTTAGTATATTGGACGACTTGTAAGGAGCTATTACTCTATTTAATACATGGTTTAAACCATCTTCTCCCCTTGATTAAGTTTTTGCAAATGTTTAAAAACAAAATAGATTTTTTTAAGTTCTGCATATTTTACAGGAATTTAGACTCAACAAAATACAAAACAAAAGTAACCACAAAGGTAGACAGGTTATAAAAGCACCCTAGAGTTTTTACTTTTATGTGATTTAATTAATCTTACCTGATGTTTGGTCCATTGGGCCGGCTCGGTGGTTCCCAGGAAACCACCAAGAAGGATTCGCTGACTGCCACTGCTGACAGTGGTGCAAGTCCTTCAGGTCTTGTGGGTGATGTAGCAACAGGAGTCGGGAGACTTTCAGTGCACCCTCCAACATCTCCACCACCTTCTGAACATGCCAGCACGGTGACGCTATAGTTTGTGTGTGGAACCAGGTCTTTTATCGTCACATTGAGCTCAGTTTCACAGCTGGTGTCATGAAAAATTCTAGGTTCTGGAAGACGGATTTCATATCCATAAATCTCTCCATTGGGAATAAGAGGTGGTGACCATGTGACCTAAAACAGAGAAAAAAAAAACACTGAAGCATTAACTGAATCTCACCAGCACAGGGCAAATAAAGTTTCCTTCTTAAGTTTTTATCCCACCATCTGATTTTTCATCACTTATTTGAAACTAACAGATCCGGGAGGGAGATTTCCTTTCCTAATAACACCCTCCAAGTCACCCGGATGGGCCCCAGTCTCCGGCATGAGAGGATATACAAACCCTTCAGCTATTCTGGTTCTTCCCCATATTCTTTGAGTGAATGATAAAGGATTAATAACTTGCACTTGCATAGAACATTTCTGAGTCATGCACTCTAAAGCACTTTACAATACTCTCATTCATTCATTCATTCATTCATTCATTCATTCATTCATTCATTCATTCATTCATTCATTCATTCATTCATTCATTCATTCAACCATCCTTTCACACACTGATGGTGATGAGTTACAATTTAGCCACAGCTGCCCTGGGGCACAATGAAAGAGGTGCAGCTACCACACACTGGTGTCACCAGTCTCTCCAACCACCAGCAGCAGTAGGGATGGGTACCGAATTCTGCACCTACCGAGGACCGATTCAGATGACATGAAATGGTGCCTTGTTCCCGTACCTGTCCTTCATTAACGAAAACTCGCGAGACAGCGAGGAAAAAGAGTACATGGAACTGGGTTTTAATTTTGCATGATTTAGAAACCGTAGCGGTCCAAGGTTTTCATATTGAAGAAATTTGTACAACACTACAATTATATTTATTGTGATACTTATCAAATATGATTATATATAGACAACATATTTAATTTAAAAAAGAGATTTTATTAAAAGTTAAAGTGAAAGCCCCATTACTTGTCACACACACTGATGTGTGTGCGACATTTGTTCTCCGCATTTGACCCATTCCTTGGGGGAGCGGTGAGCTGCAGACACAGCTGCGCTTGAGAACCATTTGGTGGCTTAACCCCCCAATCCAACCCCTTAATGCTGAGTATCAAGCAGGGAGGCATTGGGTCTCATTTTAATTTTCAAAGTCTTTGGTATGACCAGACCAGGACTTGAACCCTGATCTCCCAGTTTCAGGGCGGACATTCATGCCACTAGACCACTGAGCTGGTAATTTTTAGTTATTAATTAATAAACATTCAAAAGTATCAAAAATCGGTACCATTAAGTACCGGTATCAATTCCTAGGTACTGGGAATTGGTACCTTTTCAATTCAAATGTCAAAGGTACCCACCCAAAACCAGCAAGTAGGGTGAAGTATCTGTCCCAAGGGCACAACAAGCAAATCAGAAAGAGCCTGGGTTTGAACCGGCAACCCATCGATTACAGGGCAAACTCCAGATCCACTGCTGTCCACACAGTGAGAGGTTACCAGGAAGCGTGGAGGAGTAGTAGTAGTGACTTAACTGCAAGACCTTACCTCTAAGATTTAGAAAGGCCCTCTAAGAAAGGCAGGTCACCTCAGATGCTTGTATCCAGGATCTTAGTCTCTCAGTTATGAAAGTCTCATGATGACAGATGAGAATTAGAACATAACTCAACCAATCTTTCAATAATACTTCAAGAGATTTTGTTTTCAGCGGCCTGCTTGGTGAAGCTTCAGGACAGATCACCTCAGGAGCTCCTGCCTGTGTTAGCCACGTTGGTGAGGCATTATAGAGACTTTTTGTAATAAAAATACTCCCAAACTCCAAAATCCATGTTCAGTCTCCATCTTATGTTGCAGTTGCAGGCGGGAGTAGGATTATCGAGAGAGGAGACATGTATTTTGAGGGCATTTGGAGTTCATAGATTTCCCCAGGATGATTTGGTTCCACCTGCTGGGAAAACCTTTATAGGTTAGAGGTTCGGTTTCTCCCTTGCTCTCGACAGAGCTTTGGTTGTGTGGGTGAGTTAAGTTCACCAGTGGACTTTGGGTAAGGCCTCCGGGCAAGCTCCTTTTGTTTCTGGCTTCCCTTTTGGACCCAGAGAGTTTTAGCTCTCAGAAACAATTAGTTGGTTCATTGCTCTTTAAGTTGCTTTAAGTCCTTAGCACTCCTTCCCCAGCCTAAATTCAACCTCTCCTTAATCCATGAGCTGGATCACAACCATCGACATATATACTGGACAATTCATTTTCATAAGCTCAAATAACACGTTTTTGAAGATAAATGGGAGGTGGCCACCACCGCCATTTTGACCGTGTCACAGGTTCCGTCAAGCCCAGACAATTCCACAAAAGGGAGGAGAGGTGGAGCTGAGGGTGGAGCTGTAAGGCTGGGATCAACTGACAACACCCGGTCGAACTATCTACAAGCTAACATGAAGCTAACCCAAAGCTAATGCGGAGGTGGGAGCTAAGCTAATGGAGTTAGCAACCTAGCTACAACCAGAGTTAACTGTGCACAACACCAGAGATTCTGAGTCAGAGATACGCCGGGCTGACCGCTGGGTAAAACCGGGTGGAACACAGAGGTCTCCCGAGAGCTTCACAAGCCGGCAGCCACACAGCCGAGCGCCGCTGCAATCTGAGATGCGCAGAGCTGCCGCTGGGGAGAACTGGGTGGAAAGGTTTCCATCCCAGAGCTCCACAAGCCGGCAGTCTGCGCAGCAGACAGAGGCCGCGATCAGACAGAGATGCGCCGAGCTGCGGGGAGAAGTGGCGTATTTTGGCGGTTCTGGCTTGCCATAAGAACCAGCCGTCAGCCCGCGCAGCAGACAGAAGCCGCGATCAGACAGAGATGCGCCGAGCTGCGGGGAGGGGAGAACCGGGTGGAAAACAGAGGTCTCCTGAGAGCTCCACAAGCCGATAGTCGGAACCCAGCTCCACCAGCATGTTATATCTCAACACATTTTCTAAAGTGCAGCATTATGTTAAATGCACTGGGTTTTACCCTATTACATTTAAATTCCATGGTTAAACAGTACATGTTAAAATCTAAGCTCAGCTCGGCAGTGACCTAAAATACATAAATATAATTTTACTTACAGAAAAAAATGAAGTGGAGACTCCAATAATGCCACAGCAAGTCATTTTGTCCAACAATTGCACAAATAATATCCAAAAAAGAAAACACAAACACAGAGACTCAAAATCCTGGAACAGTTTCCAAGCCAGACCGAGGCTCTACTGAGGCCTTTCCACGGAGCTAGCTCTGTGGTCACGTGGGTCTGATATTCATTAATTATACAGAATTTTAGGCTTTTAATACACTTAAACAGAAGAGTGAGAAAAAAATGCACCCCCCTCAGAGTTGTCATGAGTGTAAACTAGATCATTTAAACCAAAAACATGTTTTGGTACCAGGCTGTAAACATGTTTATTTCTGCTGTGAAATTGGTATTTTTAACATGGGAGTCAATGGGGATTTGCTCGCTTCTGACACCAGCCCCCAGCGGATGAGGGTGGAACTGCAATTTTGGTACTTCCGTGTTGAGACCAATTTTTGAGGCGCATTGTGGGGGCTTGATCACAACACCATGTCTGGTGATGAAGTCTGGGTCCGTAGCATCTTAACATCGCTCATGAACTTCTCTGAGGCACAGAATCATTCCAAACCAGAAGAGAACATTCAAGAATCATGGTCTATGATTCTAGAATTTTAGAAATATAAGAAATATAAATTTTGATCATAATGCAGATAACAATTAGGATGGTCACTCAGTTTGTGTGTGTGTTTGTATTGTCCTGCAGAAAAATAAAGTCCTTTCATCTTTCACGCATGCGTACACAGACACACCTACACCCACACCCACACCCACACACACACACACACACACACACACACACACACACACAAAACAGCATGCTAAAATAATGAAAGTGGGTGGTAATGGAATTGCTGAATGTAAAAACAAAAGCTTGAAAAACAGTGAGACTGAATCTGATTTGGAAACAATTCAGTCTGTCAGCATTTCAGAGCAAGAATGAAGGAACTGGCACACACACACACACACACACACACACACACACACACACACACACACACACACACACACACACACACACACACACACACACACACACACACACACACACACCTTTACATCCTTAAATCACATCTTTCTTCACTACTCTTATTGCACTGATGCACACACATGACGTTAAGAAGACATACACACTCATGCATGAGCTTGTTGACACAAGTTCGGTGATTAAGTGTTCAGTGTTGATGAGAATATTATGAATGAATGTCAGGACTAATTATTTCTCATGCAACCTTGATACTCATGTAATAAGTGATGCTGTGAGGTGACACAGGACATGCACAGAGATGCATGAGTAATACCTAGACAACACAAACACAAGCTCTTTCACACACACACACACACACACACACACACACACACACACACACACACACACACACACACACACACACACACACACACACACACACACACACACACACACACACACACACACACACACCAACTGAGCGGGGTCATTTAGAGTTAGGTAGCTCATTTCCCAAAGTGCGTGTTGGGTGTGCTCTGTGGTGGAAGTCATTTACAGATTGAATAGTTTGATGTAATCTGGTGATGGTTAAGACACCAGAGACCCTGACACAGAGCACTGGGGCTGAGGCCAGTACAGTACGGGCATCTATGTCTACACTTGTATACAGTTATGTGCATATAAGAGTGAGGAAGAGAAAAAATAAAACTAAAAGTAAGAAAAATTAAATGAGAAACTTTGTGTGTGCAATTTATAACCTCTGCAACAGGAATTAATGCTACGCTTTGATTTCAAAGGAAGACATCGTTAAAGTTTATTTTGAAAAGATAGATCCTTCTAGCAGACCATACATTTGGGGTGACTAACAAAATATAATGTTGGTCTGACTTCAGCGGACCGATACTTTACTCAAGTGTCTGCAAATGTGTGTGTAATTCTACGGATTTAATATTTAGAACTCAAACTGACCCTAAAGGTTTTACCATCACCAACAACAACTGGTAAAACGGCAGAGAAATTGAGAACAATGCCATCATTTTCCAGCCATTTATCTAATGCTATTGAAACTCAGTTTGTTGTGTTTTTACTCAAAAATTTATTTGCCAGGTTATTTACAGTGTGCTCACATTTAAGGTTAAAGTTTCAGTTTAATTTGTTTTGGACTGTTTTGGACTTCATGCATTTAAAAAACCTTTGTTGTACATTGGTGCTATAGAAATAAAAACATGAACATCTCCAAAAACAGAAAGTTTGAGTGGAAATAAAATGTCTCACCACAGCTCATAAACTGCAGAAAAGTTACTTCAAAAGGAAAAGCACATTTTTCCAGCATCGATCAAATCAAATTAGTGCAGAGTTCAGAAGTACACAACACCAGGGCAAGAAATTATGTGAACTAAATGAATCCCATTTATTGTGTTGATAACTATACTGTTAGTGTTTGGTTGGAATGTATTAGTTTGCTGACTTAAACCCATAGGCTGTAAGGCCCATAAACCCTGGACAATGGCCAAACGTCAAATGAGACAAATTGAAACAGTTCGTTGTATTTTGCACTAATTTTAATACGATTTATGACTAATTCCACAAAAATATCATGTGTGCCTCCTAGACATTTTCTCTTTTTTATTGCATAATTTTTGACTTATATTTAATTTACATAGACCACTGATCACAAAAAAACCCTTCGGTGTTTCGTCCCATCTTGTCGTCTTTTTATCTCATTTAATTCCATATTTCTGCTAGTTTGTACCAGGGAAATGATGAAAATCCATTTCAGGTATGTGGAGGTCTTGCACATTTGGCAGTCTTGAATTTAATTGAATTAAAACCAAAGTAATAATTGGATTAAACAAAAACACATGCAGTCACTTACATTTTAACATGAAGCTCCTTCAGAAGATTTTACAGTTTGGACATTTTTTAAAAATGCACATAGTCAAGTCATTATGATCGTTGTAAAACGTTTATATGTAAAACTTATGGGTGTCTGTTTCAGTCAGTGTGAGGTCTGCTTTATTCTATAACTGATTTCCATTTCTGTGAGTTTTGGGTCCAGGTTTTTCCGAGTCTGAAACTCCATATCTCCACCAGCTCGATATTCCTATTAGAGTCCACTCATGTGGTCACGTTACTGGGATCTTTTGCTCTTGGACTTTCTTATATCTCATTAGTCATTAAAGAGACACTGTGTAGTCTATACTTTTGATCTCTGGAAATATCCATTGAAATGTTGTGGAAATGACTAAAATTACAGTTCGTCCAGTTGTTGAAAAATACTGGAAGCTCTCTACCATATAACCATAAAAATTGGGTCTGCGGGTTCAACTTCTTTGGGGGACGCTATGTTAGATGCCATGTTTCCTTCTGACCAGCTTGGGATCCTATGCCTGTCAATGGTTGGCTGGATGTACAACTTACAGAAGTTACGTTACCACGTGCATAAACATTTAGGCAGTAAGTAACACAAATGTATTAACAAAACTGCTAAGCTCTTTCCAAAACAAATGTGAAAGAACAGAATCGAAAAAGAGATGCAAAATATTTTGGCCCAGTGGCTTTGCCGTAGAATCATGTCATTGGCAGGCGCAGGACCACGAGCAGACCCGGAAACAATAGCACCAGAAAACAACAATCACATTCATCGAATGTATTAACTGAAGGACCATCAAAGTCTGAGGATTCACGCCGAGGTTGTATGCTTTCTGCTCCACAGGTAACAACATTTGCCATAAACTAGCAGCAGTGAAAAATTACCCAGAAATGTATGTACTGCCCCCTAGTGCCAGGAAACTACTCACTACCACTGCTCAGTTATTTGAATTCTAAAACAAGTCTTTATTTGGGCTTTAGCATTTAGCGACTCTTTGGATATTTAAGGAGCTTTTAAGCTAACAGACAAATTACCATCTTGAAAAAAAGAAAATAATCAACATGTAATTTATAAACATATTAGTTCCATCACAACCAATGAAAGCAGAAACCCGAGCAACATTTCTAGTTTTCTTCCTATATTTGGTTTTGTTGCACTATTCTGGAGATTTAACACATTTAAACAATTAGCTTCTTGACCCTTATTAACTAGAGCACATCTATCCAATGTTCAACTCTACTAATGACACATTTATGAAAACAAAAGACAAAGCGACAGCAAATGAACACAAGGTATCTGTGCCTAAATAGAAGAAATAACTGTTTCCAGAACCCACTAGGAGACGCTTGTTTTTGAGGAGCGGGGCAGATCTTCACTTCAGGAAGAAGACGTGATGTGCTTCCAATGAGTGAAAAGAAAAACACATGTAAAAATAAATGAAGGGGGATAGTCAACATCCTCCACTCTGTTGTCAAGGTCAATTGGCAACCAGGAAGCCGCCTGGCTGTCCGTCCAATTAGCAACAACCAGGAAGGAACACTTTCCTCCTTAGACCTTTGACCCCTAAAGCTGTACAGCTGCAGAGATGACAGGGGTGGTTTTGAAATGATGACAGGCATTAGCATTTTTCTGCAGTTAGCGTTAGTGCAGCGCTGCAAGTGCATGTGTGTGCGTGTGTGTGTGTGTGCGTTATATTATTTCAGAGGCTTTCATAGATAGGGCCTTGATGTGAGATTAGCCGCTGGTGGGATTCAACTCGGGTCCTTCCTTCAAAATGGCCGACAGGAAGGAAGCTGCATCAGACAGGGTCGCAGCCCCACCCATTTCTGAAGGGGACCTTGAGCTGAATGCTTTTTGCTCTCATTAAATCCAGAAAGGGAAAGACAGAAGATTCTCTGTGACATTGCTTTGTCTTTTTTATTCTACCAAATCCAGAGTGACTGAGGAGATTCTCAATGAAGCTGAACTTTCTTATTTCTCCTGTTTAGAGAAACTTAAATCAGCTTTTTAATATTCCTAATTTCTTAGTTTGAGTTTCTGACTCCTTCTGTCAGACACATGCAATCTGTGGTATTGTTCAAAAGAAACTAAACTAAGTAACACACCCAGGTATTTATGAAGAGCCCACATAAGTTCATGTCCTTACTTGAAGTGACTTTGGTCCCAGGACTTTAACCCTCGGTGGACTCAGACCAGCTGGTCGAGACGGCCTGGTAGTGACACTGACCCAGGTACCTGCAGATATGTATATTTGACACAATTTTGTTTCCCATAAATGAACATCGGTACGAACACCGTTTGATTTTGACCTCTCACCTGGAGCTTTTCCAGCCTGATTTTGAAGCACAAGTCGATACTGATAGGTAGTCCAGGGACTGAGAGCTGATGAGGAGTCCAGAAAGGAAAGCGGGGAAGGACCTGGCAGAAGATGACCTACAGTGGAGACTTGTTTGGTTCCAGCCAGTCTGCGCTCAATAAACCAACTATAGCAGATACAAGGTGTAGAAAACAAAAACACCCACTTTTTAGACAGAATCTATTTTAAAAGTGGAGCTGATATATTTGTGATGGCCTCCTACCGTTCTAGTGGCCCGTTGCTTCTTTCTGGTTCTCCCCAGGACAAGAGAACTGATGTGGGTGTCTCAGAGTACAGGTGAGGTGCAGGAACCCCTTCAGGAGGAGCCGGGAGGGTACGGAAACTCTGAAACACCCCTGAAACTGAACAACCTGCACTGGTGCATGCTTCCACCTGGATATGAGAAATCAGCTATTTAACACCAATGACATGTACTTGTAGAATTTTCAGTGCAAAACCAGCACTTAAAATGTGGTACCTGGAATGTATACGCATGGTGTGGCAGTAGGTTGAGGAAGGTGTAACTGGTGACATTCCCAGGAACAGTGACAGACTGGAGCGTTGATCTGGAAGCTGCACTAAAATAACTGGGGCTGGTAAATGGATGGTGGTTGATCAAAGGATCAGGATAATCACTGCTTGCATCAGCTGACAGCGAGAGGCTTGAATTTGGACTGGTGGTGTTGAGCTCATCAGGGTCCAAAACAATGTGGTCATTCTGCCTGCCTTCTACAGTTCGAGGCCTCAGGGTGGAGAAATGGTTGTGGGTTCTTTGTGCAGCATCCCGCATTGTGTTTGAATCATTGAAACCTGCGATGGCAGAAGTTATGGAGTCGTGGCCTGAATCCTGAGGGTCAGTAAAACTAGATGATGCCATGAAGCTGGAACCAGAGTAATGATCTGCTTCATCTTCACCAAACAGACTGCTCAGGCTGGAGCTAAGAGACGAGCTAGGTTCATAATCTAAAGAAAATGCAGACCCAGGGTGAAGGTAGAGGATGTAATTGGTAATGATGCCATTTGTTTGTGAGGGCGGAGCCCAAATAATTGATGCACTTCGAGAATGGAGTCCATGTACAATTGGAGGGTCTACTGGTTCTGGACCTGCAGACAAAGACATACAATGTAAAGGGAAAGGAAAGAAGAACTTACACAAGAGTAAGATAAAGGTGAGGAAGGTGATTTGTTCTGGAGAATCTGACTTTATAAAGATATGCAAGCATAACTTTACAGCATATGACCGGTGATAAGACATCACAAGGACAGAGAGTGATGTTGAAATCAATATTCAGGGGATTAATATGGAAATTCTCTTCCTCACGTTCTGCCCCTGAGGCAATGTATGTTGCATTTAGGACTTTTTCAGTACTTGTGACTACATACGAGTCATGGGAGAGCCCGTTTCCACAAGGGGAAGAGTAGGCTGAATGAACTGTGAACACTCAAACACAAATAAACTCTGCGTTTCCTTAAAACTAGGAAAAAAGACTCACTTTATAATTTTAGTGCACTCAAAGAGATAGAAATAGGCCAGACAGACAACTGTAATTATCTTAATGAATATCAAGGTTCTGGGATAAGTAATTTGTGAGTGAAACCATAAGATCTTGAGGTCAGTGGGTTGAATGGAGAAGAGAAGATGACGAGAGGTTTGAGGAGATCTAATAAGTTAAAATTGGACCCAGACAACAGAATTGTAGCATCAGTTAAATAAGACCTGGTGGGTACTACTGCTCAGTAGCGCTATCTACTGAGAGGATCTGAGGAAGAACAAAAAAGAATCCTGTGAAGGGTGTTTGAATACAGTGATGTGAAAAAGACCACTTCTCCTTTTAGATTTCCTTAGTTTGTGTTTGTCACACATAATATTTCAGATCAGCAACATGTTTTAATATTGGACAAAGACAACTTGAATACAAACAGAATGCAGCTTTTTAATTATTTCCTTTGTTAAAAAAATCTATCTAAACCAACCTGACGCCATGCCAAAAAGTAACTACACCCTGGTTAAATCATACATTAAATGAACCACCTCATTTAGTTTGCCTTGTTTCACCAGCCACACCAGAACCTGGTGACCTTCTGACCTGTGGAATTATGAAATCACTTCAAGAAAGCATGAGTAGACTAAAATATTAAACAAGAGAACCCAGGAGAACATCTAAAAGACTGCAGGTCTTATTAGTTGGTTAAATTTAGGGTCATCTTTAGCCTGGCCTGCCAGACTCCTCCTGTGTTTAATTCTGCACAGAGAAAGGGTCTGGGAACTCTCCTGATCAAATAACCCCACCCCCTGAGAATTCTAACTGAGCCAATCAGCACTGAGTAGCGTACGTCACACACCACAACGCCGAGTTTGTCATGAACATGGCGACTGAAGCGGAGTTCGCTGCGGCTCTTTCCTTTGTTCTAAATGACTTGTATGTCTTGCTAACACTAGCAAGCAAAGTCCGAGATGGTACGGCTCCCATCTACCTGAATCCTCTTGCAAAGGCTTACGTCTCGGCCCGGCCGCTCCGGTCATCACAGGATCGTCGGCTAGCAGTGCCTACTCCATGCTCAGGACAATCCAGACTCTTCTCATGCATCGTTCCACAAATGTGGAATGACCTTCCAAGCACTACTAGAACAGGAGCTTCCTTTTCAATTTTCAAGAAACTCCTGAAGACCCTGCTCTTCAGAGAGCATCTTCTAAACTAGCACCCTCCCTGCACCCGTCCCACCTCTCTACTGTCCACTCCTTGTTCCCTCCTCTCCATGACTGATGTCAAGTTGTTGTTATTGTTGTTGTTAGCCTCAAGGGCAACATGCCGATTATCACTTGTAAGTCGCTTTGGACAAAAGCGTCTGCTAAATGCATAAACATAAACATAAACATAAACATAAAACAACAACAAGTAGAAGCGCTAAAGGCCTTTCTTCCAAAGAAAGATGTTTGCGCTGTCGCCAGACGCCATTTTTGACTACAGCTAAAAAACTACAGCGTTGCGGAGATTGCACACAGCGACATTCAGTTTCTCATAAACAACGAAGACAGCGGCGGAGTTTGCTGCGGCTCTTTCCTCTGTTCTAAATGACTTGAATGTCTTTAAAATCAGAACAGGTAGAAGCGCTAAAAGCCTTTCTTCTAAAAGAATAAACATATTTGTGCAATTGCCAGATGCCTTTTTTTGACTACAGCTAAAAATCTACAGCGTCACATGGTACAGTTGGCATCACAACATCACAACAAATCACTGCAAATCAAGATTTTCAAAATCATTTCTGATTATAATCAATGCGCAGCTGAGGGTGAAACAACCAGGCAGAAGACCAGCTCATTGAATGGAGCGGTAGAGATGGATTGGGGCTGTGCCTACAGTGATGCGGGCATTGCACCGGTCTGTTGTGGTGAAGAGGGTGCTTAGCCAAAATACGAAGCTCTCAATTTTCTTATAAATCTACATTCCTACACTCACCTAAGGTAATGAGCTTTGGGTAATGACCTCAAGGTCAAGGTCAAGTTTATTTATATAGCACATTTACAGTCATATATAATCAACCCCAAAGTGCTGAACAACAGTAGAGAAAATAAAACACAATCAAGAAAAAATTGTAGAAAAATCAAGTTATAATCTACAAAAACAATGCATTTAATGCTAAAAGATAAAAATGCAAGTCAAATAAAACAACTATTAACTACTCAAATCAACCTCAGAGAACACAGAGAAAGCCCCGTCTCCCAGAGTTTTTAAACATGTTTTTGGAACAATTAGGAAAGACTGTGAGCTGGATCTCATGTATGGACAGATGGACAATAATGATGGACAATAAAAGAATGAGATCACAAATACAAGCAGCCAAAATGAGTTTTCTCCACAGGGTGTCTGGGACTTATGGAGATAGGGTGAAAAGCTCAGTCATCCGGTAGGGACTCAGAGTAGATCCACTGCTCCTCTACATCAAGAGGAGCCAGTTGAAGTGGGCTGGGGTATCTGGTGAGGATGCCTTCTGCACACCTCCCTTGTGAGGTTTTCTGGGCACATCCAACCGGGAGGAGACCTAAAGGAAAATCCAGGACATGCTGGAGGGGCTATGTTTCTCATCCGGCCAGGGAACGCGTTGGGACTCCTCCGGAGGAGCTGGCCCAAGTGGCTGGGGAAAGGGACGTCTGGGCCTCGCTGCTTAAGCTACTGACCCCGCAACCTGACCCCATATTAATGGAAGCAAATGGATGGAAGACAATGGATGGATGGATTATTTTAACTTTAAATTAGAAAATGTAAAGAAAAACATTAGCTATAGAACTGGGAATTGAGGACCCATAGAGTTTGCTAACTTTGTTATGTTCTTTGGAACTTTAGTGTCTTAAATTTTTCCATCCTTTACATAAAATGATCCTATTAGAAACATGAACATCAGAGAGTTATGTACAACAGCCACATGACGGTGACGCAACGATAAGAACAAACATGGAACCAGTCAAAAAGATATTTCACTTCATGGTAGCTCATCTGAAGGTAATACCTAATCCCCCCCTCATACACCCCTGGCATTTACATCCCACTGTACTGCTCTATAATGGACACACTCACACGGACACGCTCTCTCCCTAACTCGTGCATTAACTCACATGCCCACACCCACAGCGATGCAGTACAGCAGTAATGGTGCTATGTGAAGGGCAAGCAGATCAAGGTGACTGAGCGGACCGAGGGAGCGTGCTGCGTCGCTAAGTGCTACCGCTAACCGCTAACGGCTTTCCCAGATGGTGTGTGTGTGTAAGGGAGAGACTAGAAGGGAGAGAGCGAAAGATGAGCAGTTCTGTGTGTGTGTAAGTGTGTGAGCGATTCGGCGTGCAAGCATGTTTATGTGTGTGTCGGCATGCATGCACAGGAGACAACAGCTATGTAACTAAAGTGAGAGCACATTTTCCACACTATTTATTGATTGAGATGCCTTACTAGGCCAACAGAGAGAGCAATGCCAGCTAATGCTTAGTAAATTAGCCCAGGACATCTTAATTCAGCAAAAGGTTAAGAACATGTTTAAAAGTCTTAATGGCATTCATCATTCTTCACTTATAGATTTCAGGACGCTGCTTTGGACTATCATGTCATAAGTATTTGTAAGTTTCCTTGCATGTATAGAAATCAAGTGCTTTTGTGGATATGTGAACCAAAGCCTTGCAATTGCTCATGGAGAACATGTCTGTCTATGAGAAACTTTCAAAAACGCATTTTGGAAGTAAGAGTGACGGTGGTAGTTAATACCTTATGTACATTAATTTAATGTTAGCACAAAAAAGTAGAAACTGAAGTAAAAATATTCAAAAACTCCATGTTTTTATACTTCATAAATTATTCTCAACATTTCCACCTCTCCCCCAATCCACCTCCTCTTTCTTCTTCTTTATTTTTCCTCCTCACTTTCCTGCTTCCCTTTTACCCCCTCTCCCTTATCCCTGACTCTCTCCGTGCCCTTCTTGTGCTCTGCATCAGGGTGTCTTCTCCTTTCTCTCCGGTCTCCATCCATACTAAATAAACAATGCAGGAAGCTGACCTTTTAGGTTAACAGGTTTTTATGCTAGCTCTCCTCAGCACTCACACTGATTCAATTACCACCAAAGGTCCACTGAACCCCTACGAATAACCAAAGAGCCCATCTCCCTGCCTTCCTATATGCACGCCGTTGTGCCTGACTGCACACTTGCGTCTAGTTGCGGAGGGTCTGGGTGTGTGCCCATCTTTTTTTTTTTTAATGTGTAATTTGACGCTTCACACATATTTGATGCTCTAGTCTGAAATTCTTTGAATTGTTTGGTGTAATTTATTTTAGTAAAGATGCTAAGAGAAGCAAATTTGTTCCGACTGAAAATAATTGTCATACCAAAACACAACCCAGTCACCTTGATCCAGTTCCCATCAACCATCAGAAATAACCCCTCTGGTTTCCCCCCGCCCCCCAAACCACTCCTCTCCTAAGTGTTGAGCGTTGTTTAGGCTTTACTGACGCGTGTAAAATTCAGCAATTTGAAGGGCAGTTAACTTTTTCAATTGAAATTTTCATTAAAGATGCACTTGATGTTTTTTTCTTTGTCTTGTTTTGTGAGGAGTGGGAGTGTT